GATGTCAACAGCAACACAAGCTAGATGACAAGAGATGTGTGTTCTCCCAGAAGAAAACGATGCCCCACTTCTTTGGGAAACACTCGGCTCTGAGGTTGGTGTTTTAAGGCGCACAGGGTGATGGAGGCACGCTCCAAACCCATCTGCAGGATGGGAGAAAGGCCACCTTGTGGGCATGTCTTCTGACTCCAGACGTCGCCCCAGGAAGCCAACTGAGTCCTGCTCCTTTGGTAAGGCGTAGTACCTGGCACCCTGTCAGCAACAGTCATGCCGATGGCCAGGAGACACAGCCCTTTCTGGAAAGATGGAAACTTCACCATCACTCCCTCCCCAATGGCCTCAGTTGCCCTTCGTCAAGGGAACCTTAGTCACAGCTTGGATCTGAGTGGAGGAGGGGAGGGGAGCCCCAGAATGCTTTCTGCCGGGGAGCTTCTCACCAGGGTCTGTGGAGCCATCCCATTTCCCATCAGTCCCAGGCAGGGCCCCAGGGGTTATTCCAGGTCTTCTGAAGGAAAAGTCCTGGCTCTGGAGCCTCGCCTGCCAAGTCACTGGTTTCCACGGGCACTGGGTGGGGTGGGGCTGCGAGACAAGTTTGGCACCAGTTACCATCCCTTCCCGAAGCCAGTCTCCTGCTCTGGGCCGGTCTCACATCTCTCTGGCCAGCACTGCACCCAAGATATACAAGTGCATAGAGACCGTTACCCAGGAGGCTCTGACCACAGTATTTCTGTTTTTAGCGATTTCTGGGGACTGAAGTCACAAACACTGTCTTAGGAGCCAAGGAGCCACCTCTTACAATTCCCACGCAAGATGAGTAGATGACAGCTATGTCCCAGAAAATCTGTGTTGTACAAGGGGGCTCCAACAAGTTCACGGGGGAAAAAATGAGATTCAACGACAGTGGCATTTTTCCGAAGCACACCCCTCTCTCACTTCTGTATTCATTCACGGACGCTGCTATTCCGTGTGAGCCCAAGTCGCGCATTCAACTCGCTCTGCTTTGTGGCTTGGTGAGCCTCCTAAAGGGCACCCCACCCCACGGTGCACAATGGGATCCTCCCCCTCGGGCGTTGGCTGAGGGCCCCCTGGGGACAGTGGTGAATGGCTGTCACCCGTTCCAAGGCTGCTTTCCTCTCTGTGGACAGCCCATTCCGGGTTCGCTTCATTTGCTCGAGGGTTTGTGTATTTTCCTAATTGGGTCTGCAGCCAGTTCTTCCCTTAGGACGCAGTGTTCACATTCCTCTGTCCACAGTCTTCCCTGGTCTATACTTTCACTGAGTAACTTTACTGTTCTGGGAAAACCAAGTAAAGATCCTTCCCCCACACATACAGACACCCCTAAAAGAAAGAAGGGCGTTTCTGAGTCGAAAGCTGTGTCTACATCAGTCTGCTCTGAGCTTTTCTGCCGGCAGCTGGAAGCAGAGCTGGGACCCAGTCTTGTCCGGTTGTCATGGCTGATGAAGCAAAACTGGAATGGACCCACCTTTGTATAAGAGGTGAGTGTACTAGACAATGAACTAGACTTGGGAAGAACGAGGGCTGGTGCCCTGCTGGAAATGTACTCTCCCACAGCAGTGTGTCCGCCGCTGTATCGCAACCACATCCCTGGAACAACGGTCGGAATTACCACCATCCCCTCAAAGCCAACCAGGCCGAGCAAGAATCCTGTCTTCCTCGTCAGGATCCTGAGAGGGTTCACGAGGCTTCTTCCATGTCCCTTGTTGTGGAGTCTTCTCATTCCAGTGATCTGGGACACCATGTCTGACAAATTAGGGTCTCTCTGATTTCACTGCCTTCGCCATGACCGAACCAGTTTGAACCCGTTTAAAGTACCTGCTGCCATGGACGAAGTCCCCGACCTAGGCCGAGGGCCAGGAGTGACCTGGCCCGTACATAAGGTCCAAGCGCTCGCTCGTGAGCAGCTTCTGTGTGCTCTTTGCCAAAGAGAAACAAGAGGAAGGACATGGAGGAGCGTCCTTCCAGTGGGATCTGTGCATGGTTTCTCTTCAGAAGGCGCAGACCACCACCCAGTTAGCCTGGGTCTCTAGCAGGGCAGCTCCACTCCCAAACTGGGACCCGGAGTCACCAGGTGGAAAGCAGGAAGCCCAAATGAGCTGGTCTTCGAGGAGTCTCTGCCTTGCCAGACAAGCCATGACGTTGGTCAGGGCGTCTGTTTGCAGGGTTCGGGGAACCAAACATTGGGGGATCGATTCTCAGTCACGAAAGGACAAATACTACGCGATTCCACTTAGCTGAAGGATCTAGAACAGGGATGGGTCTAGAGATCAAAGCTTATTCATGTCTACCAGGGTCAGGTGGCAGGGAGGAGGAAAGGTGGATTCAACGGTGAGGGGACACCACGCTTCGGTTTAAGGGGATAGAACAATTTGAGACCAGACAAGGGCACCAGTTGAACCACATGAGCATAGTTAATGTCACCTAGTGGACAGGGAAGGAGGTTGTAATGGCAGCGATTTTGCTGCCTGTATATTTACAATTTAGTAATAATAATAACTGAGCCCTGGGGAGGGGGGACATAGGACATATGTCCGTGTGGGTTCGTACCCCACTCCTGGTACCAAATGTGTTAGAGAGGGTTCTCTAGAGAAACAAAACCAGAACGCTAATAATTTTATATATATTTATACAGTTAATTAAATTATAAAGCAGTACAAATGGCTCAGTGCAACTCACTCCCGTGAGACAGTTGTGAGACACTGGCAGTCCTTCAAGTCTTGAGGGCCGCCGGGTAGTCCTCTGTAGAGCAATTCAGGGTATCCGGGCACAGGCAGCAAACAACAAGGCAGGTCACCAACAGCCAGCCAGATGACAGGGTCCAACTGTCCCCAGCTCAAGAGATGTACATTTCAATTGTGTGGCGAAGCAGGTCTTGAAGGAACCTCAAATTACAGCGACCCGGTCCACAAGTTAGGTGTCCCACAGGTAGTGTAGCTTGCAAATGGAGGCACAGAACAAGCAAGGCAGCTGCACACTGGTCCGATGATCAAAGAGCAAGAGACAAGACAGGCGAGGCTCATCGAGCCATTTATCTCTCCGCCCTTCCATTAATCCCACATGTGTTTATCGGCCAGGATGGCACAATAAATTAACTACCTCCATCCACCCCTTGCCAACTTGGCACCTGTACACAATTCTTAAGCCATATATAATTTCCAGATATTAATGAAATCACACTTATATTTAACATCAAACATCTACCATACATATTAATGAAAACACAGAGTCCAATTGTATCTGATATATTACACATGAACAAAGGAAAGATATTCAATAAGCACATATAAAGAAAATACACGGACAATTACAAACCTCGCTTTTGCAATTGATCATGTGGGCCTGGTGCCTCAGTGGACTGGGCGCAGTTACGACAGCCATCTAATAGATAAGGAGACTGAAGGCTGAGAAGCAGGCTAGCTGTCGCAGTCATTAAGTAACAGAACCAGTTTCTCTTAGCTGCAATTCTGAAACAGAACCACGTGAAAAGGACACATAAAATGTGTGAATAATCACATGGTGAATAATTACAAGAATGATGTTTCTAGAAGAAACAGAAAACCGCCAGCAGCCCAGCAGCCACCCTGCCCACCTCTACTCCCTCCCGATGTCTACACTGTCCCTTTTCCATGACACTCCTGTTTTTACCATTTGACACCTATAGACTCACGGTGCCAGGACTGCTCGCCGGGTCTGCGAAACCCTGAATCCACACTCTTACCTACAGCTTTAGACTTGCCCTTGCTCGATGGTTCCTGAAAGATGAAGTTTTCCATCGATGGCGGATGTCTCCATGTCCCCTTTCAGTGCCGGGTGCCGCCTGGCTTTCCCGTAGGACAGGGAAGTGCCTCCGGGAGCGTCTTGGCTGTCACCTTCCGAGTGCGCAGCCCAGGTGTTTCTGCCGAACCGCTGGGGGGTTAACCGCCAGACTTCCATCCAGTCGGCTGCTTAACCACTGCACCACCAGGCTCCTTGTGTCAGATCTGTCCACGTCTGTTTTCTTACAGCTGTTACTAATGCACATCCATGGATCTTTCCATGGAGTTCTCGTGACTTGTCCTATGGCCTTTAATCCTTTCTGCTTTAAAGGCTAGCCTGTCGGACACGGCTCTGGCTGCCACAGCTTTCCTCATTCACGGCAAATCTTTTTCCACCCCTTCACTGCCTCGTCAGACTGGGGGCATCCTTCTGCCAGGCATTTTGCTGGCTTCCTGACCTATTTGCAAAGTCGTTGATACTTTTTTGGGTTTGAAGCATTAGACTGTGAAAAGATTTGGAAAAGAACAAGATTTGAATGAGTGCAAGTCCTTGGTCAAACCTTCAAACTGACTTCCACTATCCTTAAATTAAAAAAAGAAAAATGCTAAACTCCTGCCATCCAGGGGATTCCAACTCACAGTGACCCTACAGGACAGAGCAGAGCTGCCCCCTTGGGTTTCCAAGGCTGTAAATCCACGTGGGTCTGGACAATCTCCTTTCTCCAGAGAAGCTGCTGGGTTTGAACCACCAACTTTGTGGGGAGCAGCCAATACTTAAGCTGCAGCACCCCCAGGGCTCTTCCCACTATCCTTAGGTAACTGCACTGCTACGTGCAGAAAGGTGTCAGCAGAGATAACATCCATCCACCCATTTATGGTTGACGTGCTCAGCTATGACCTGGGTGTTTGGAGGTTCGAGGCTGACGACCATCCAGAGGAGCCTCAGAAGAAAGGCCTGGTTACTACTTCTAAAAACGCAGCTCCTGAAAACCCTAAGGCCCGCGGTCCTCCTGGAACATACACCCACGAGGGCTGTCACCCTCTAACAGGAGGTGGAGTAAAAGATGCCGACTTACAGACGTGAGCACACGTCATTGACACAGTGCTTACTCAGAGGCCGCACCTCCTAAGGCCCACACGAGAAACTGGTTTACTCCAAAGGAGATGCTAACACACCAGCCTAGACTGTACGCGTGAGTCAGATAAATGTGCGAGTCCCACAACCAGTTGAGTCAAACTATTTTATTAGCCACCAGACTCCTTCAGGGGCCGCAGGGGCCTGTTCTCGGCAGCGGGGCTCCGGCTCCGGCAGCCTGGGGCCTCACTCCTCCACTCTGCCTGCTGACACAGTCCTGCAGCAGCGCCTGCGCCTCTGTCCGCCGGCTCATCTTGGTGGCCTTGCCCTGGAAGCGGCCTTTCTTCCCGGCTCCTTTGCCTTCCAGAACCTCAGCCACCCTTCGGGGCAGACACAGGGAAGGAAGTTACTGAGGAAACAAATGCCACCGAAAATCAGACAGCCTTGAGTTTTTCAGCTGGGTCCAGAGGGAGGGGACAGAGGAGTACATGGCTTCTAGAAGTCTTACCAATTTTTCACATCATAAACACTAGGTATTTTTGTTCATCAAAGGACTTTATCAAGAGCAAAGAGAAAACTGATAGAGTGAGAGAAACATGGGGGAAACCATATATCTGACAACACTTTAATCCCCCAATACATGTCTATATCAAACTTGTACAATTGAACAACACCAAAACAACCCAGTGTAAAAATGGGCGAAGGACATGAACAGACAGTACACCAAAGGGTTACAGATGGCGAACAAGCACATGCAAAGATGTTTGCGGGGCAGTGACTTCTAGATAAAGTTTCTAACACCCACAAATGACTGTCCTGCACAAGGAAGATGCTGATAGGGTTCCCTGGAGTGCCATCCTGCTGTGTGCACAATGAGGCCTCTGAGAAACAAGAGTGGATTCTTGTCCTCTGGACCGGAGATCCATGCCCGGAGAACCACCTGGATCCAGATGACAGCTGGGCCATCAGAGGAGCAGTAGCAGCACCAGAAGCCAGAGATGGGACAGAGTGGTCGACTTCCCAACCCAGGGAGCACGTTTAAGACAAGTGCTTTTGTGCGGGAGGCTGGCTTGCAGAGTGGGGTCCCTCTGGGCACTTAACTGGGGAAGTTGGGCAGGCTGACCCCTGGAAACAGCTGAGTGCCTGGGGCTGAGGCTGACTGGAATGGGGTGCCTCTGGGCACTTACTTCAGGGAGCTGGGTTTGCTGACCCATGGAACTTGAGCTGAATGCCTTTCAGCGAGTCTTGAGCAGAGTGGTCTACCCTTTGGGCATTTATTGGCAGACCTGAAACTTTGTAACATGTCCCGGTCAACAACTACCCCGAGCATTTCTCTGGCGTTACTTCCTTAATGAATCCTTTATTTGGGAATCTTATCTGTGAGTTTCCATGTAGCCATTGCAATGAATATTGGGACCCAGAGATGTGGGATACAAAGATTGTCCCCCCCAGTTGTCTCCTGCTTGCTAGTTCATTGTGTGGTCAGCTGCTTAGAAGTTTTCTCCCTGAGGCATCAGCCATCCAGAGCAATCAGACTACTGTCTGTCCCACCCTAGGTGGGGCTCACACCCTACTCATAGGATAGTGATTGTTTCCCAGGAGAGCCCAGAGAAAAGGTCAAGTCCACTCAAGGACGACCAAGGTTAGGTTGCCATCTTGAATCTGCCCATCGTGTCACATGTGTACCCCCAATCCCTCCTCTTCCTATTGCATGCACACCCCTAGATCGTCACCCTCCCATTGCTGTATTGCCTATGGTACAACCCCTTCCTGGGACGTATGTGGTTACCTGTAATCAAGGGGACTTGCACACCCCTAAGTATATATAAGCCTTGGTTAGAAATAGGCTCTCTCTCCCCCTCTGTCTCCCACCTCCGTGAGGTGCGCATACCATGAAATGTGTCTGACTCCTTATCTCACTTTCTCTCCTGGCTTTCCTATCTCCTGTGACTTTACTATCGTCTCCATATATTATTGCTGCACAACTGCGCCTACGAACCCCATGATATTGCTAGAGGCTGGTTTACTCTAACACAGACAGATAAAGTAGAGAAGTAAAAGAGATTATGTTAAGACAACTCAATGTTAATGTCACTCACCATTAAGCAAACTACAACAACAAAACCCCAAGCCTGTCAAGTTGCCATCAAGGTGATTCCAACTCACTGCGACCACCGAAGACGGCAGAACCGCCCCACGGCATTTCCAAGGCTGCAAATCTGCCTGAAGCAAACTGCACACCGTTCTCCTATGGGCGAGTGGCTGGCGGGTCCACAGTCAGCCTTTCACTCAGCAGCCGAGTGCTTAACCACTGCGGCACCAGGGCTCTTCGTGTTGGCCATGAACCCTGACCCACTGCCGTTAAGTCAGCTCCAACTCCCAGCAACCCACGTCGACTTTCCAAGGCTGCCTCTCTGGGAGCAGGACGGCCTCATCTGTCTCCACTGCTTACCTGACAGTGCCACCGTTAGCCACCGGCAAGATGCCACCAGAGCAGACCAGCCTCCAACATCCATGGGGCTCCGCAGGAGCAATTGAGCAGTTATAAGATACAGAGGCTTTATAACATATGAGGTCATGCAGAACAGGACCGAGAGTGGAATGAATAAAGGCGTCAGACACACTTTATGGCAGCATGCTCACCTCCGGGACGGCCGTGATCTCAGCAGCCAGGTCCACGCAGAGCGGGAGGACGGGGAGGGCGGAGAGGGCATATGCTCTTTACTTCTGACCAAGTCTATGTATGCAAGCCCCCTGATTACAGGTCACCACATACATAACAGGCAGGGGTTGTACAATGGGCATTCGCATCACAGGAAGGGGATGAGCTAGGGGTATACACGCAATAGGAAGGGAATGTTGAGGGGTACACACGTGACAAGATGGGTGGACCCTGTGGGGGGAAGTCAGATCCTTGCTGCCAGACTGCTGTCTCATCCCACCACAGGGGTGGGCCTGCTCCCTGCTGCTGGGGACAACGGACAGGCTCCTGTAGGCGGAGTTCGCATCCTACTGAGAATGGTCTCTATCAGTTGGGACAGGGCCAGGCCAAACTGGCTGTCCCTCTTCCTACTGCATGTACGCCCCTAGACCACCCCCTCATTACTGTGTAACCTACAGTGCAGCCCCTTCCTGTGACGTATGTCTCTACCTGTAATTAGTGGGCTGGCTTGCCCCCAAAAGGTATACTGTATAGGTGTGAGTCAGCAATATAGATCCCTCTCTCTGGTTCTGAGCTCCTTGCTGCTCACTCCCTGGTCACTCCCCTCTCCCTCCTTCCCTTCCCCCTCTCTCCACATGAATTACCAAGCGGGGCTGAGGTGAGCAATGCTACCATGAAATGTGTCTGACTCCATTTATTCCTATCTATCTTTTATCTCTCATGCTCTCTAGAACTTTACTATAATATTTACTTATTATCGCTGTCCAATTGCGCCTACCAAACCCGCAGTGATTGTGCTAAGAGCTGGCTTCTTCTGGCAGGACCCTATACTCAAAATGGCAGCCTAACTTGGTCATCCTTGAGTGGGCTCAACCTTGCCGCTAGGCTCTCCTGCAAGGAAACAATCGCTACCCTTATCAGAAGGGAGTGGACCCTACTTAGGGTGGGACAGACTATACATACAGTCTGATTGCTCCAGAGTCTAGAATCTAGGTGCTGATAACCCTCAGGGAGAATAACCTCTAAGCGGCTTCCTTTTGACCTCCAAGTGCACAGTCATTGACCATGTGTAGCAAGCAGTGTCTTAGGTTTGGCATATATTTGGGGAAGACAACCTGGGGAAAAATCTTTTTATAGCTCACAAGACGCAACCCAAACCATGAGATACCACCTCCTCTCTCCTAGAATGGCCACAGCAAAGCACAACCAAACTCAAACCAGGTGTAGGCTGGGGCCCTCTTCTACTGCAGGAGGGAATGTAAACTGGATCAATAGCTACAGAAAACGGGTGCTTCCTCAAGAAACTGAACATGGAATTAGCATGTGACTCAGCAATCCCGGTCCTAGGAGTATCTGCAAAAGATCTGAAAGCCGAAATGCAAGCAAAAATCTGTGCAGAAACAGATGAATTTACCGATAAGCAAAATGTGGTACATACACACAGTGGAATATTACTGTCTTAGAACCCCTAATTTATATAGCAACATAAACGAACCCTGACCACGCAATGCTGAGGGACAAAGTGGCTCTCATTAGATGATGGGGCAGGGGGCAGGAGGGAGGAGAGGGGAGTCACTGAGTAGCAGACACTGAGGTCAGCTGAGGAGCCCTGGTGGCACAGTGACTTTCGAGTTGGGCTGCTAAGCCCAGGTCAGCAGTTCGAACCTACCGGCCCTCGTGGGAGAAAGAAGATGCTTTCTGCTCCCTGAGGAGCCACAGCCTCAGGCCGTTGGACCCTAGAGGGCTGCTATCAGTTAGAGGGGACTTGAGGGCGGGGTTTGTTTCTGGTTGGGGGCTATGCTGATGGTGCTGAAGTAAGTCAGAAAGGCAGAGC